TTGAGATAAGTGTCCATCCGGGGCTGCCGTTCTGCACAAACCCAGGGGCGCCTTCACACGGCAGAGGACGTGAACGGAGACCTAGGAGCTTGGAGGTGAACAAAGCATCCTCAAAGGCCCCCGCTCCCAGCTAGTTTCAGCCCCTGCTTTGTGGGCTTCCAGTTACTTTCAGGTAGTCTCAATTTAACTAATACATTTTTGATAGTTCTTTAACATCCAGGAGGTTTCTGTGCCTGGAGGGCAGCACTCAACTGGATTGGTGCTTAGTGCATTGAACAATTTATGAAAGTAATAGAACTCTGGAAATCAATTTCCTTGAACATTTAAACATTATTATTAATGTGATTAATTACAGTTCCTTAAAACCTAGATGGTAATTACAAGTCTGGTAATGATGGATTCTTCTGACCCCTCCAGACATCCTAAATAACAGGCCAAACGGACAGAATATTTCCGGCCCGTTGAGAGTGTAGGATCCGAGTCATCTAGACTGATTTCCTTACTGAGAGGCGCACTCGAAGGAGATTTAAACTGAAATCTTCCATCATTAGGCTTGGTCTCTCTCTCTCTATTTTTTTAAATTTGCAATATTTATTTGTGGCATTGGGGACTGTTAAGTTTTCCTTTGTCATACAGATTTTAATTTTGGAAACTTGGCATCTTCCTACAAACTTCTGTGTTTTCTAAGTTTGCATGGCAGTTGGGGGTCTCTTAAGATTTCATACGAATTTTAGAATGGTTTTTCCCGTTTCTGCAAAAAAAGGATATTAAAATTTTGTTGGGGATTGCACTGAATTTGTAGATCACCTTGGGTGCTGTGGACATTTTAACAATATTAAGTTTTCCAAGCCATGAACATGAGACATCTTTCTAGGTATTTGTGTCCTTGATTTCGTTCAGCAGTGTTTTGTAATTGGCCATTTATGGGCCTTATACCTGCTTGGTTAAGTTTAGTCCTAAGTATTTTTTTCTTTTTGATTACATGGGATTGTTTCTTAGTTAGTTAGTTATTTGAGGGAGAGAGAGGAGCAGAGGGAGAGGGAGAGAGAATCTCAAGCAGATTCCCTGCTGAGCAAGGAGCCTGACGTGGGGCTCCATCTCATGACCCTGAAATCATGACCTGAGCCGAAATCAAGAGTTGGATGCTTAATCAACTGTGCCACCAGGTGCTCCAAATGGGATTGCTTTCTTAATTTCCTTCTCAGGTCGTTCGTTGTTAGTGTATAGAAGTACAACCGATGTTTGTATGAATTAGATTTAATACTTTTTATTGCTATCTTAAGTGTAATATTTTCCCCCTTTTCCATTTTTAGATGATTGTTATTAATCTAGAGGAAAAGGTTTTATGTATTTATGCTGTATTCAGCTGTCTTATTTACTCTATTTTTCCCCCCACAAACTGGAGTCTCTTGGGTTTGGAGGGGGTCAAACCATCAACAACAGAAAATTTATATGTTTTTTCCAATGTTCACACAAATTATGGAATTTCTTGGTCTTATTGCACTCATTAGAACTCTATGACAATGTGGAATAAATGGTGATAGGCGCCCTCCCTGTCATGTCCCAATTTAATTGAAATGGTTTGAATGTTTTACCATTTATAACAATATTCTTGCTGTCTTTTCTATAAAAATCTTTTATTTATTTTTATTATTTTTATTTTTATTTTGGCTTAGTATTTTAATGATGGCCAAATCCTATGAAGTTCTGTTCAGCGTTTATTGATATGATACCACATAATTTTTCTTCTTTAATTGGTCATGTAATGGATCATGTTGGTCTATTTCCTGATATAATAATTATACTTGCATTTTTGAGGTACACCTATATGGTTGTAATATATTATTAATCTCTTAATGTGCTGTTGATTCTATTTGTCGTTTTTTTTTTAACTTATTTTTGGGGCCCCTGGGTGGTTCAGTAGGTTAAGCATCTGCCTTTGGCTCAGGTCATGATCCCAGGATCCTGAGATCATGACCAGAGCCGAAATCAAGTCAGCTGCTTAACTGACTGAGCCACTCAGGGACCCCTAAATTAAATCTTTAAAAAAATATTTTATTTTTTAAGTAATCTCTCCACCCAACGTGGGGCTTGAACTCACAACCCCAAGATCAAGAGTTGCACACTTCACCGACCAAGCCAACCAGATTTGTAAATATCTGATTTATAATTTTTGCATCTATATTCATAGTGATATTGACTTGGGGAATTTAGTGTTCTTTGTTTTGGGGTGTTATCTTTATCAGTTTTTGTATTAAGGCTGTTTCTTTACAACATGAATTGGGAGAAATTTTCCTATAACTTGTAATCTCTTATGAACACTGAAATTATATATTCTTTAGGAGTGTGATAAAAAGACTTCTGAATACAATTGGTCCTGGTGTTTTTTTATTTTTTGTCTTTTTTTTTTTAGTGGTAGATCTTTAATTATCTTTCCAATTTCCTCCATGAGAATAGGTCTACAGAAGTCTTCAATTTCAGGGCGCCTGGGTGGCTCAGTTGTTAAGTGTCTGCCTTTGGCTCAGGTCATGATCCCAGGGTCCTGGGATTGAGCCCCGCATCGGGCTCCCTGCTCAGCGGGGAGCCTGCTTCTCCCTCTCCCACTCCCCCTGCTTGTGTTCCCTCTCTCGCTGTCTCTCTCTCTGTCAAATAAATAAATAAAATCTTAAAAAAAAAAAAAGAAGTCTTCAATTTCTTGGGTCAGTTTTGTTAATTTTTTTTGGTCAGGAAATTATTCATTTCCTCAAGTTTTTCAAATTTGTTTCTATAAATTCACATGAAATATTCTCTTACAATTTTTCTAGTCTTTTTTATATCAGTTATATTTCTTTCCTCATACTTTATCTTGTATATTTTTGTTGCCTTTATTCTTTTATTGGGTTCTTTCTGGATTTATTTACTTCCTTGGTCTTTTCAAGGAACAGATTTTTGAATTTATTTGTGCTTCCTACCATTTAAAATTTTCTAATTAACTTCAGCTTTGATCTTTATTAATTTCCTATCTCTGGTTTCTTTCATTGCTTTTTCTAATTTCTTTTTTTATTAACATATAATGTATTCTTTATTTCAGTGGTACAGGTCTGTGATTGCTTTTTCTAATTTCTTAAAATGGGTAGTAAATTACTATATTTTTTGGTAATGAAAAAATTCAGTCTATTCATTTTTTTCTGAGGATAGCTTTTATTTTAAAGCCACTTTTTAAAAAAAATATGTTTATTTTAGAGAACGAGAGAGAGTGGGGGAAGGGCAGAGGGAGAGACTCTTCAAAGCAGACTCCCTGCTGAGCATGGAGCCCGATGCAGGTCTCAATCCCACAACCCAAGAGATCATGACATGAGCTGAAACCAAAAGTCAGACGCTTAACCAACTGAGCCACCCATGCACCCCAAAGCCACTTTTTCTAAACAGCCCTTAAGTCAAGCCACTTAGTCAATTTTTTTTTATAGGTAAACTCTACTTCCAACATGGGCTTGAGCTCATAACCCTGAGATCAAGACTTGCATGTTCTGTCTGCCAAAGGAGCCAGCCAGGTGTCCTTCTCAGTGTAGCTTTTGCTGTGTTCTCTAGATGTGAGTTTGAAATTACATCACTTAGGGCTCATTCAGCTATAAATAACAAAATATTTGACTAACAATGACTTAAATGATGCAGATATTTATTATCTTGTTTAAAAGGAAGATTGGAGGTAGGTATTTCTAGGGTAGATATTATTTCAGTGGCTTAACAATGTTATTGGAGACTCATGCTTTTTCTGGCTTTTTGCTTCATCATCCTCAACATGTTGGCTCTTCGTCCTCATCTGCATCGTCTTACGGTTGCAAAATAACTGCCACATGTTCTCTCCCACTCACAGGCAGGAAAAACAAGGGAGGGACAGGGCAATGAGACCCTACTTGCCTGAAATGTCTTTAAAAAGCAAAAACAAAACCAGAGAGCTCTCCTAGTAGATATTTTCTTACATTTGATTGGTCCTAACTGGCCACTCCTAGCTTCAAGAGAGGCTAAAAAAGTGACAAAGGGGGAATAGGATTACATGGCAGGCCTGAGTCAGTTTCCAATCATTTTCCCTTTATGTATGTATTTGGCTGCTACCTTGTTTGGCACATACAAGTTTATGATTATTTTATTCTTTCATTGTTCCTTTGTGCCATTATGCTAAGTCCCTCTTTAACCTGTTTGATTCATTAAAGTGTACCTTGTATGATAGTGTCACTATTGCTTTCTTCTTAAATTTTGATTTGCCTGGTATCTTTGTTTAACCCTTTTTATTTTCAATCTGTTTCCTTTTTTTTTTTTTTTAAGAGTGCTTCTTGGAAATAGCATGGAAGAATTTGTTCTGTTCATATTTAGTGTAATCCACTTGATTTTACTCTTTTCATCTTATACCATGTTAATTTTTTTTTGAGAGAGTGTGCATACGTGAGTGGAGTGAGGGGTGGCGGGGAGGGGCAGAGAGAGGGAGAGAGAGAGAATTTTAATCAGGCTCCACGCCTGGCGCAGAGCCTGTCTCGGGGCTTGATCTCATGGCCCTGAGATCATGACCTGAGTGGAAATCAAGAGTCTGATGCTCAACGGACTGAGCCATCCAGGTGCCCCTGCTGTGTTCATTATTTATTGTCACTCCTTTCTTCTTCCCTTTTCCCCATTCTGGGCGGGGGTGTTGGCAGTAGAGGCAGCCAAGGCAGGGGCTCCAGGTCAGTGCCCAGCTTCCAAGTGTGGCTGATGTGGGGGGGTGCATGCTGCCATGGGCAGCGCCATCTTCATCAGACCAGCTCTGCAGCATAGTTTGGGGGCTCCTTCCTGGCTTGGAAGCCTCCAGATCTAGCTCTCCCTCTTTCCTAGAGCTTCGAGGAGCCACCCAACATCTTTTTAACAAATTTTTTTTTCTTGTTTTAATCGGCTGGAGTTGGTGCTTATTGCTTCAGTGAAGAACACCGAATAACACTGTTCAACTGGTTTTATTTATCCCCCCAAGCAATTCAATGCGCAACTGCATGCACTCAACAGTTTTATCTTATTTATTTAGACACACAGTAGATACTCAGAAGGAACAGAGAATATTGGGATGACAAAATGATCCAACTGTTCTAGACTTTAGAGGGAATTCTCAAATACATTTTTTTCTTGGTGCAGTAGGATAAAAAGTCCTTTATACTCATATTTTTGTGAGGGAAAGTCCTGATCTCCCTTTTAGAAAATAACCCACGTTTTACAGACCTAAAAATTATTTTTATCTTTTCAGTTATAAAAATACATATCCACTTATTTAAAAAAAAAAAGAGGAACAAAAGAATGAAGGAGGCAAAGAAGGTTTTCTGGACTCGGGGGAGGCTCAGGTGTGCCTGTGGAACTCACAAGTTGCTCCTAAAAGTCAGCAGTTTATGAAGCATTGAGATGCTCCAGGGACAGGGAGGGGTGGGGGGGATGGGGGGGTGGGGGGTAGGCGATTGATGGTCATCAAAGATGCAAATTTCTGAATTCATTCTCTAAATCATTCTGTGGCTGCTGAGAGAGAAACAGAATAATTAGAAGTGTCATTGGCAGCCAGCAGTGCGGAGAGCAAGCGAAGGAGAGGGGACATGAAGAGCCGGGTCAAAGAGGGCCAGGGAGGTCTCGAGGGAACCAGAAAACAGACAAGATCCTAAGAAAAGGGAGACAAGGAAGGAACGGGGAGCCCCTGTTGGGGTGAGGGGAAGGGTGTTGGGAGAAAAGAGAAAGGTGTGGGGGGACACTGGGGACAGAGAGCAAGGAGAGGAGGGACAGAGACAAGGGGGCGCTGGAGCTGGGATGAGGGGGCGCGGGGGGAGAGGGGGGCCAGGCGCCTGCAGCAGGGACAGCTTCTCACCTTGAGGATCTTCCGGAGCCGACGGGTTATGTTTTTACTGTACTGTTCCAGCTTGTTCCAGGGCTGGAAAGGCTTGCCCTGGTTGTCCACAAACTCCCTCCAGCAGTCCTCAAACTCTGAGATGAAGAGGGAAGGCAGTCAGGCCCCAGGGGCAGGAAAGCCACAAGCGTGCACCCTGCAATTCCAGGGACCCCTCCTTCCTTTGCCCTTCCTGGTGGTGTCACAGCTTGGGCCTCAGCTGGGCCACCACCTTTTGGTCCAGCAACCCCTCCTCCCCCAGTGGCTTTTCCGTCTTGGAGCTGCAAACCCTCCCATCCCCTGACAGCTTTGCCCTCTCCGTACCCAGGGAGCTCATGACAGCCACTGGGATCCCGGATGCGTGCAGTTGCTTCAGCCCCTGCTTATTCTCCTGGAGCCAGTGGAAATACAGGCGGGAGGCAAAGAGCCGCAGGCTGATGTGGCTGTGTTTTCTGGCAAATGCAACCAGTTCCTTCGCACAGGTGGGGCAGGGGCTCCACGTGACATAGCAGGTGATTTCAAATCTCTGGTCTTTTTCCAGTTTTAGTGCCATGATACTGTCAATAAAGCGAATTTCTGCATGGCGCTTCTTCTAGGGAGGGTCCCAGATAGAAGAAAGGTCACATACTGAGGGCACCACTGGGGATAAGGGGCTCCGCCCCGTGAACTTGCCTAAGATGGGGAAAGAACCTTCCTTCCTTCTTTCACTCATCCATTGATTCAGCACCCCAAAGCATCTGCAGCTTGATCTGAATCAGACCCAACCCCCTGGGACGAGATGGGTTGGCAGAGAGACATCCCCATGGCACCATTCCCAGATGGTCGGCAGACCTTGCCTTTTGGACATCAGGAGATGTTAGAACGTGGGGTTCCCAAGGAGCAGGTCAGAATGGGAGGGAGGCAGGATGGGGCAGGTGGGCAGGGGGGGCAGAAAAGCAGAGGGCAAGTGTATGAGGGAGTTCTTGGAGGTGGGGTTGAGCGCTCAGTCCTTGGAAGACCGCTTGGCTTCTCAGAAGCAGCGACTGAACTGACACCCAGAGGACAAGTAAATGTATTCTCAAAGAGGGGCAGGAAGAGCATTCTGCTGGAGGGAAGAGTTTCTGCAGAGGCCCAGGGACAGGAAAACCATGGAGAGTTCCCGGGAAGCAGGGCTAACAGACCCAGTTAAGCCTCGGTATTTTCCCCACCGGCCCTGTGTCCAGACAGCCCGCCTGGCACCTTGTTTTGAAGGCAGGCTTTGGCAGTTACGGAGCCGTCATGTGGCTTCAGCTGGTAGCACAAGTAGGTCTTCCTCCGGTGGTAGGGCTTTGGGGCCCGGGGCTGGTTGCCGAACTGATAGAAGAATATTTCTTGTTGTAGTGGATTCATTGTGGTTCTGCACAAGAGGAAGAAAACCAAAGATGCAGAGAGCATCTTCTGGTGTCACCCCAGGCTCTGTCACCCTCTGAACCCAACTCCTTGGTCCACTTGGGCCCCTGGGGTGGGGAGGGAAGGGACATTCTCCTCTTTCCTTGTTGTCCAGGAGGGCTGGGAAGGAGGAAGGAAGAGGGTGAGCTCTCCCACTTGCACACAGCCCCACCTCCGGTCTGGTGGAGCACCCACCATGCCCACACTGAAGGTCATTGCAGGCAGGGTGCCTTGGGCTGGCTGGGGGGCCCCACCCTGAGAACTTGACATCAGAACTTTTTGGCTCACCCATCTTTGTCCTGTGCCCCAGACCCCTCTGTTCAGGTCCCACGGACATCTCAACCCTGATGTCCAATGCCACAACCCTTCTCTTTGGGGATGGAGGGGCTGCACTGGTAATTCTTCTAACTCTCTGCTCTTTGCTTAGGCGTGGGCATCACAATCTTAACTGCCTGTACAAAGCACAGAGAGGCTGGTGAACAGGAAAAACTGTTGTCACCAAGGGAGTGTTGTGACAGAGACTTTGGCTAAAGGTCAAATAGCTTTTCCTCCCCCCAGTTGTGATTATACTCTAGAGAGTATTCCATCTTGTATCTTGCTTGTTTTTCAGTTGCAGAGTGACCTGGCTCATGTAGGCTTGCGTGCACGGGATTCTTTTTGATAAACGCTGTCGGCTCTGCAAAGATACAAGTAGGTGGACAGAACGAGGAGCCCTCCTGCCTGCCCCAGAGTGGTGCATGAGAGCTCCAACCAGCGGAGCCCCACTGAGTGTGGACATTATTGACCAAGCAAACAGTCTGAACGAGCTGGGGAAGCTTGATGGGGCCCCAGCCCACTCTCCTTCTGGACACTCCACCCAAAGCTAACGTGACCTGGCTGACCACTGAGTCTGGCTCAGGTGACCACAGACGCTTGGAACCGGACACAGGAATCAAGCCAAGGGTGTCATTCCTCAGAGCACAGACTACGGGATACCGTGTTCCTGCAAGGCCAGAAATGTTTTCCCCATATTTCCAGCCAACTTGTTGAAACACCACAGATTCTATCAACAAAAGACCATTTCTGTCATCTGTTATGCTAATTAACAAAGCCACTAAATTTCATCAACGGAAACCCATCTCTGATACCCCTTATGCTAATTAGTAAAGCTTCAGGTGCATTTTGATGACTGTCATTTAAAAGCCATCTCTGAGTTGTGGCCTTGGATTACCGGCCAGTGACCTCACCTGAAGCTGCTACTCTCAAGGGCACCTGGTTGCCCTCAGCATGAAGATTAGAACAGAAACATCCATTCATAGCACACTTAGGACAACCAACTGCCCCGTGGCTTCCCAATTTTAGCACTGAAGTTCCCACGTCCTGGGAAACTCCTCAGTCCCTGGGAAACCAGACACTCAAGCCTGGACTATTTCAAATTTTAGACAAGTGCACTGTCTTAATAGCACCAGTGTTAAAGCTTGACCTTGAATGGCTAAAATTGAGGGATGATAGAAACAACTCGTAAGGAGCATTTAAAGACTAATTTAATTTTTCACACTTGGTAGTGTCTTCATGGGAAACAATTTATCTTCTTGTCTTGGAGATGATTTTTCCCTCCACAGAACAGAAATGAAACCATCCACAGAACTAAGTCTGCAGAAAGCCGCCCGCAGTTAAAGATCGCTGGGAAAATTCCCGAGGGAACTTAGAGGATGCTTTGCTTAAGATGATGAACGTCACCCAGGGAACACGGTCTATGTGGTCATCATAGCCACGAGGTGCTTGGCTTCTACAAACAGAGCAGCATCACTGATGCGCACGCACTGCTGAGCTGGTCTTCCGACCTGGGCCAGGGAAGCAGTAGGACCACTGACCACAATCTGGATGAAACCATACCGGTTGGTACCAGAAAGACAAGTTAATCAATGTTGAAGTTTACCTAATCCCCAATCAATCAGAAGAACCCATGAGCCTGGACCCCTAACCCTGAATTTTTGCCCTTAAACACCCTTACTTGCAAACCATCGAGGAGTTTAGGACCTTCGAGCATCGGCTCCCAGTTCTCCTGGGTGGCACCACACCAGCAACTAGCCTGTACCTTCAGCACAGAAACCCAGTGTCAGTTCATTATTGGCTTCCCGAGCATCAGGCAGATGAACTCTTGCTCAGGTCGGTTACAGAAATTAGAGCATCCTTTGCAAAACTGTGCAAGTCTTTAAAATAAGATGTATAAATACGCTTTTATAGCTGACTCCAATTGTCTCAGTCATTCTTGAATCTAAAGTCTATAACTAAAGTCTACAACTAAGCTTAAATAAAGTGCTTTAGGAAGACGCAGGGGCCACGCCTAGGGGAGAGGGCCACGGAGGCAGAGACAGGATGTGGAGGCAGCAGGGGTGGGGGTGGGGGGTTGGGGAGATGGGCACCTGCCCAGGCGGTGCCCGCAGGTCAGAGGCAGGAACAGACCCCGCGGATGGAACGATGAGGTGTCAGAGAGGGAGAGAAGTGGGGCTGGGAGGAGGAAGGAGGCAGAGAGCCAAGCGAGCAGGGGTCCTTGGTCCCTGCAGCCCTGTCCCACGCTCCTTGGCAGGCTCGTCCCATCCTGGCCTGAGCCCTGGGCTCTCCAGCTCCACTTCCCTCTCACGAGGCCGCTCTTGGCCTTGGGAAAGCCCCGTATCTGTGAGTGTCCTCCCACAGTAGTCTGAGTGGTGGACCCACCCTCTTCCTGCCAGACAAAAGCTGGGGTGGGAGGCCCTAGCTTGATTGTGCTTCTTTGGACTCCCATCCACCTTCTTCCCCCCCCCCCCCGACCCTCGACTTACCTGACCTTGGGAGTTCCGGGGTAGCTGCCTCTCCTCAGCTGGCTTGTCCCAGCCCTGCCCTTTGTCTGGGGCACCAGGGCTCCATTCTTCTCGCTGGCCTTGCTTTGGGAAAGCCCCAATCTGGAGTGACCTCCCCGGGCTGCTGGCTGCCTCCCTGGATGCCCCACCTCCTTCCTGCTTTGCTTCAGGGGTGGGAGGGCCCTCGGGTGGTTGCACTTCCTTGGGCTCAGACCCACCTTCTCTCCTTCTCTGAGACACCCCGCCCTGGGCAGAGCCGCCCTCGGGTGGGGCAGCAGGAACAAGTGATTGCAAAGAGAAAGAGAAAGTAGGATATGCAGAGGGGGTTGGGAGAGCCTGGCCGGAGAGAGCTGGACGGAGGCGGGCTTCTGGGGAGGGGCAGGCTCTCCGAGGAGTGGAGTGAACCCTTCCCTCGTTACCCCTGTGTTGCCCTTAGGAGTCATTCACTATCCTGTCAGGACTCTGGGCATCTGGAAAGTGAGGTCTACAGGTCAGATCTTCATCTCCAACCCTGGAGAAGGCAGGTGTGTTGAGCAGTTCCTATACTCCATCCTCTACCACAGGCCCCAGTAGCTTTGGAAGGGGCCTATCATTATCCTGACATCTTCGATGAGATCCCAGCACAGAGAGGCTGAGCTACTCTCTGGGGCCACACAGCAAACCAATGGCAGAGCTGGAGTGCCTTCCAGGGGCACTGGCCCGGCTCCTCCCGCTTCCTCAGTGTTCCATGAGTAGGAGGGATCTTGCTGCCCCCACAAGGCCTCCCAGGTCAGGAGTCGGGGGCCTGGACTTGAAGTGTGCGTCCTGAAAGCTGTCCTCTTGCTTTGTCTCACATGTCCACCAAGACCCCGGATGGAAAAACAAAGAGCACCTGGGGAAAGCTGAATTCTAGAGAGGAGGTCCTAGAGCAGCCGCCGGCCACCCCCAGTGCAGACCGCATGCGTGTATGAGTCCCCGAACTTCTCCCAGCTGGTGGCCCCTGCCATGCACACCTCATTTTGCCCTACAGGCCCTGGGATGGCCCCAAGGGGGTAACAAGAGCACGGGCAAGAGCTGGAAGATCTGAGGGGATGGCGCCCCCTCCACACCCGTCTGTTCTCATACCCAGAGGCCCCTGAAGAAGGTTCCAGAATGAGAACCTGGGCTCGGGCCCTTCCAAGAGAGTGATCAGATCTGCGTACTCAGGTGTTGATCAAATTGACAGCTAAGACGCCCCTGGCCAGAGGAGCAGGAAGGCTGAACTCTTGCTAGCCGTCAGAGACAGGCAGAGAACGGAGATGTGCGAGAGCGGGACGGTGACTATTTTGGAAGAAATGTCCTGAACGCCCCCACGGATCTCTAAGACTGGCCTTCTGCATGGTTCTTTTCTCCAGAAGGAGGGGATATTTCGAGCAGGCCACTTTGGCCCGTTTTGACGACGCAGGCGGTCGAGAGATGTGCCGTCCACACGTGCCTGTCTGTGCCTCCCTGCGTGAGGCTGCGCGGGCAGGGAGAGCGGCAGGGCGCACTGGGGGGGGGGGCAGCCCGAGCCCTTCTGCGTTCTCCCCTTGGCCCCCAGGCAGCAGGACAGACAGGGAGCCGCGGGGAGGGCCAGGGGTCTGTGGCCACCACCAAGTCACACCTAGCCGGCCAAGATCAGAGGGAGAAATAGCTGGTCTGAACGGGACCTGGCACGTGCTCCACAGTGATTTTAGGGATGTCCTCCAAACCGACCACCGGCCCTCTTGCTTCTCCTGCCTCTGCCTGCCCAGAATCCCGCCGTCTAGGGCTGACCTCTTCCTCCTTTCCCCCGTGCCCTGGTCCAGGCCGGCCCATGGACCGCTGCCGCCGACCTCCCCCCCCAGTATGTTCACGGGGTCGTTGGCTCTGTGGTCAAAGAAGCAGAGGGTCCCTGTTTTACCTCTACGGCTCGTGCTTCCCTGTCTCCCTGACTTGACTCTTGGCCACCTGCCACTTTTGATTCTGCTTTTTTGGAAAAGTTCTGATGACCTCAGTCCTCCCATACCCAATCCTACATTTAAAAAAACCTCAAAAACTTATTTAAATGTAAACTCACTCTCCATTGCTGTCTCCAGGCTGCCACCTGCCCAGAGCTTCCCCTCTGGCAGCAATGTGGGAAGGGGATAAGGGACATGGGAGTGAGGGCAGGTGTGATGGTGACCTGGTGGGAGGCGGTGGCGGTGGGGGGGAGGGGTCCAGGGCAGCAAGGATTAGAAGGGAAGCACGTTGCGGGGGGCGGGGGGGGGCGTGGTGGGGGGGCAGCTCAGGCATAACCCAGGAGACAGATATGCAGAATAAGGACCCTGGTTTTGCCCCACGCCTTCAGCTCAAAAAGGCCCCGGGTCATTGTCTGGGCTGAACCGTGTGACCCCAAATCCATCCGCTAAAGTCTCAACCCTAGTGCCTCAGCATGTGACTATATTTTAGGTACAGACTTTAAAAAGATGGCTGTTAAAATGAGGCCCTTTAGGATGGGCCCGAATCCAATCTGCCTGATGTTGTTATGAGAAGGGGAGACCGGGACACGCAGAGGGACACCAGGGGCTCCCCGCGGTGAGCCCAGAGGACGGACCACTAAAGTCCTAGCGCAGCAGTACCCCCTCATCAAGGACCCTGGTTCTCTGAGAAGTCACATCCTCGGGAAGGATGTTTCTCACAGCTTCTGGTTTTCACACTTAGACATATTCATGCCCATATACCCTCAGTTTATTAACGAGATTTGGTTAATGTGGTGAGATGGAAGGAACCAGGTGGGGGGCCCCTTCATGCGGGAGGGAAGCCTTGAGGAAGGAGGGAGGATGCACAGGAGGAAAGTGGGGGAGGCTTGAGGGACTGGGGAGGGAGGTGAAGGTGGCTGGAGCCCAGGAAGGGGGCACAGCAGCAGGGAGAGGCCAGGGGGCTGAGGACGCCCTCACCTAAGAATATTCTCAAGCTCTGTGGCCAGGAAATCATTATCTCTTAATAGATCCCGACTCTGGAAGCGCATCCCATTGTGGTCCACAAAGGTGTCCCAACAGTATTCATAATCTAAGATAAAGAGGGAAGAGGGCAGTCAGGTGGGCCCTGGGAGGCCTTCTGCTCCTGACCCTCCCGTGCCCTCCCTGCCAGGCGCCACCAATCCTGCCTCGGTTTCCCAGGCTCTCCTCCCACCCACTCTCCCTAGGGATAGTCTAGATCCTTCACCAACCCCACCCCCCGCCCCAGTCCTATTCCCTCCCACAGCCTCTCTCGTCCCCCAGCTCCTTCTGCTCTCACCTTCAAAAGACATGACGTCCAGGTGGACCCCTGCAGACCATAGCCTGTAAAGCCCGTCCTGGAAATCTGGGCGCCAGAAGTAGTAGAGGCGGGCGGTGAAGATGCTCAGCGTCACGTTCCTGTATTCCCTCAGGAATCTGACCACCTCCTCTGCACAGGTGGGGCAGGGGCTCCAGGATAAGAACCAGGTGACATGGTAATGCTCGTCAGGGGACAGATCCTGGTCACAGAACCAAGAGAGGAAGCAGAATTCTGCGTGGTAGGGAGCCTCGAAATAGACCTGGGAGAGGCAGAGAAGAGAAGGGGATACTCTTGGCTGGCAGAGCAGGCAGTTTGGCAGAGCTGGGGGCCGTGGGGGAAGGGGGAGGGCGCAGGAGTCACAGGGGCATGTTGTTCATTGATTTATCCCTCCTTTCCATCTCCCCCCACACTGTCTCTTCTGACTGAGTCATTCCTTCCCACAGTCATTGACATCAATTCCAACATCAACTCTCCATCCATCCATCCACCTATCCATCCATCCATCCACCCACCCACCTATCCATCCATCCACCCACTCACCCACCCGTCCGTCCATCCATCCATCCATCCACCTATCCATCCAACCACCCACTCACCCACCCATCCATCCATCCATCCATCCACCTATCCATCCACCCATCCTATAGACATCCTACTGGCCCCGGGCCAAGCCCTCTGGGGTCTAGGCTGGTTCCGTGGGTGCTGTCTGCTGGGGAAGGCCACACAGCCATGCTGCCCCACAGGAGAGCCAGTAGCCCCACTTGTCTCCAGAGCACTTGACATGTGGCTTGTCTGAATTGAGAAGTGGGGCAAGTGTAAAATATACATCTCGTTCCAACAACATAGTAAAAAAGATGAATGTAAATGACCTCATGAAGAATTTTTATATTAATTATAATTTGAAATAATCTCTTAGATATATTACCCAATACATTATCAATACTAAGTTCATCAGTTTATCTTAACTCTTTAAACACTGGGTACTAGAAAACGTTAAATGACATACATGACTCAGATGATGTTTCTGTGGGTTAGTACTGGGGTACCCTTGACCCGCCCATAACGGCTCTCTCCTGCAAAGAGGCTTTGAAAAGCCTGCAATGTCAGGAGAGAGGAGAGGGCAGGGGTGTGGTGCAGTGGGACATCTCTCAGGAGTGGCAGGTGGTTAGGGGGCAGGGCTGCAGGAGGGTGGCCTGGCTCCAGCAACTGCTGAAGCTGGTCATGGGTGCCATGGCAGCCTTCCAGGGACACCTGGGCTGTGGCTGGGAGCAGGCCGGGGGCGGGCAGATGAGGGGTACGGGCTCTCTCCTGAGGGATCACAGGTCCTGAGTCTGGATGAGTCAGTGGTGCGGCCGCGGCCGAGGACTCGACCGGCAGAACCATTACTAGGGCAGAAAAGGCTCTGGTGTCCAATCGGCCCCGACTTTCTAGACATGCTCTTTTATCAAAGCCTGCTAGAGGCCAAGCTCCATGACAAGACTCGGAGATGAATGCAGGTGGACTCTCTGAACAAGGCCCACAGGCTACATCAAACGTCATCCTGTATCCAGTTCCAGGAGGGCCAAGCAGGGCGCTCTTGGGTCAAAGACTTAGAACAATGTCGGGGGAAGGAGCATGCACCATGGAGAGCCCCAACCTGGCATCTTATTCCATTCTTTTCCACCTTCCCAACTGACTCAGCTCCTGCCTCTTAACAGGCCTTACCTTGTTTTGAAAGACCCCCCAGTCATAGGAGGAGTGCCCCTCCCCTTCTCTTTCCACTTGGAAGCAGAGGTAGCAGGAGTTCCGCCCGAAAGCGTAGCGCAGGCTTGGGAAGTGGAAGAAGAAGGTTTCAGGACTTATCCACCCCATTGGGTCTCTGGGGGCGAAAGACAGAAAACCAAAAATGCGGAGAGCGCTCTCTGGAGTTGTCCCTGGCCCATGGCCTCCCCTGGGCACAGGGGCTCCCTGCCCTGCCCCCGCTCCAGGGCCCTGAGCCTTGTCTGCCGCTTTTCCAGGCTGGACTGTTGCGGGGTGGGGGGGTGCTGCTAGGGACAGCAGGGACGGGGGGCCTCTCCCGCCGGGGCCCCTGCGGGCCTGCTTCTTCCAGCCATGCTGGTTTTCCTGCTCATTCATCCCCCAACCCACTAGAAAAATTGCAAAGAGAAATAGGAAGCCTCCATCCCCAGAGAACGGCTTTTCTAATACTTCACTTCAATTCGTTCCTGATTTTTTTAACCTATGCGTTAAAAAAAAAAAAAAAAAGTATCAGGTTAATACATACCTTCAGACATTCAGGTTACTATTCTAAGTGCTTTAAATATCTGAACTCACAGAGTCCTCCCCAGATCCCATGAGAGCCAACCCCACCCTCGAGGGAAGGAAGGTGGGCAGGAGGTGGAGCAGCCTGGGCAAGCCCAGGGCTAGTGAGTGATGGGGCCCTGGCTCCCCAGGCTGGCTATTTCCCACAGGGACCTCCCATGTCTGCAGTGGCAGCAGCCTGCAGTCCTGCCTGGGTCTTTTTCTCGACTTCATTGTAAATATGTGCATTTCTCCCAACTATGGCATCTTTCCCCCAGCTGCAGGTCAGTGGTCCTTACAAACATGAAGCCTGAAGCTCGGTCACCAAGGTTGGGGGTAAGGTTGAGAACAGGTTGCATTTATGTGTCTGCCCGTGATTGGGAGAGCCCTGCAATAGGTGACTTCTCTTCTTGCCTCCGAGAGCTAGCCTCACACCGTGTTTATAATGGTGTAAAAATTATAGAAAATCAATCAAAGTGCTCTAAACTAAATCCACCCACTTCTTCGCTCATGCTTTAGTTAAATTCTGAGCGCTAAGAGAGCACAGAAACTTCCAGAAGCCTCAGAGAGTGGCATCACCCGGCACAGTCTGGGAGGGGCAGGCTCAACAGACTTTCAGACCCAGAGGTTGGCCTGGAGTACCCTGGGGCTGGGTGGAGGTGCGGGAGGGGCGTGTTCAGAAGCAATAGTGGGAGCATCCCCAGAATAGGGTGAGGACCCAGGCAGGAGTGGGTTCTGCAGAGAAGAAGCCCAGAGAGGAAGAGAAAGGAAGCAGGACCACAGGGAGGAGGAAGAGGCCAAGGACAGAGGCACACAAGGGCAGGGCCACCAGGAAGGAGGGGCTGCGGAAGGGGGCCCCGTTGGGGGGGTTGGCGCGGACAGAGGAGCGGGGGTACCTTGGGCGGTGGCGCCAGGGCTCCATTCTTCTCACCGGCTTTGCTTTAGGAAAGCCCCCCCCCTCGGGATCTGAGACCTCCTAGGCCGCCTCCACCGAGGCCCCACCTCCTTCCTGCTTTGGCTTCAGGGGTGGGAGGGCCCTCGGGTGGTTGCACTTCCTTGGGCTCAGACCCACCTTCTCTCCGTCTCTGAGCGCGCCCCACCCCCCCAACCACGCGGGCAGAGCTGCCCTCGGTGCAACAGGATCCGAGTTATTGCAGAGAAAGAGAAAGTAGGATGCCAGAGGAGGTTGGGACAGCCTGGCTGAAGAGAGCAGGAGAGAGGCAGACGGGAGGCCGGCTCCAGGGAGAGGCAGACCCTGGAGGAGCAGAGTGAGCCCCCTCCTCATCACCCCTGTGCTCCCAAGTCTGGACCCAGGTATTGCTCTCCACCTGTCTGCTGGATGAGTGGAAGAGAAAAGGAAGTGTGGATCTCGTGTCAGGACTCTGGTGTTTTCATCTGATTCCACAGCAGTGAGGGCACAGATGTGCTTTGAGCTCCTAATTCTGTGGTGGGTCCTCTGCCTAAGGACCCTCAGCCTTATCTGACAGAGCCAGGGGGAGAGGGAGAGATGGAGAAGGAGGGGGCAGCTTTAGTTTCTCTTCCTCCTCTTAGGACACTGATCCCCTCATGGGGCCCCACTCTCATGATACTGTCTAAACCTGATCACCCCAAAGAACCCCCCTTTCCAAACACCACCACACTGGGGTTTAGGGCTTCAACATATGAATTTGGGGGACACAAACATTCAGCTCATAACAGTTGTGACTGACAGGATTCCCTTCACTGACTCAGGGACAATATGGCTGACCCTGTCATACTGCTGTATGAGGGGTGAGTGTTGCCTTATACCCGGAGCTGAATCTCCAGGCTCTGTGGCTGCCTTTCTGGAGGTTGGAGGTCAGAGGCTGTGTTCCCTGCTACCTCATGGGAGGCCCAGAATGTTAGTGATGGTAGCTGGGCCAGTGCTGCCCCTAGTGGGATGGGGATTTCCTCATGGGAATAAGAGAAACAGGGCGCCTGGGCGGCTCAGTCGGTTAAGCGACTGCCTTCGGCTCAGGTCATGATCCTGGAGTCCGGGGATCGAGTCCCGCATCGGGCTCCCTGCTCGGCGGGGAGTCTGCTTCTCCCTCTGACCCAACCCTCTCTCATGCTCTCTCTCATTCTCTCTCTCAAATAAATAAATAAAATCTTAAAAAAAAAAGAAGAAGAAGAAGAAGCAAAGACACGTTGGCTGGGAAGTAGATTCATAGTGATGCAAATTAGAGGAGCTGTCCCTGAAGCTGGTGTCTCAGGTGGAGACTGTGGGGAGTCCTCACCCTCTGCCCTGGGTGTAATCTTGACAAAGGAGTGATGGACACTGGGTCCCTCCTGTTGCCTCCCCAACCTGGGCTCTTTGGCTGTGCAAATTCCCTTGGCTGCTTCTTTACCCTTTATTATAAGGCCCAGCCTTGACAGGGGCATTTCCATGCTATCATGGAGGTAGTTCCCCCTGGGCACTGTCTCGTCTTTGTTAGAGAGAAAGAAAAAGAGAAGGAGAGAAATTTTGGGGAGCATAGATATCTTTGTAGCACTGAGGTCTCTATCCATTAACATGGTATATACCTCAATTTATATAGGTCTTCTTTTTATGTTTTCAGTGAGTTGCACTTTTTCATAAAGGTCTCACACATTTTGTTAGGTTCACTTCTAGTAAACTTTTTGGGAGATACTGTAGGCTTCATCTACCTTTATACTTTTCGTTTGTTGCTAGTATCTGGGAACACTGTTAATTTTCCTAAATTGAAGTTGGATCTACCACCTCGCTGAGAACTTGCTTACTATTTCTAGTAGTTTCTGTTCTTTTTGCAATCCCCACAGCTCTTGTTTATTTTGGCTCCTGGGACACCGGCTTGGACAACAGCACAGTGTTGAACAGTAGCAGTCATAAAGTGGACTCTTCTGTCCTTCCATTTTAAGGGAAATTCTCCTAAGAGGGAAATAGAAAATTGTTAAGTCCCAGGGCTCCTGGGTGGCTCAGTAGGTTAAGCGTCTGCCTTCAGCTCAGGTCGTGATCCCAGGGTCCTCTGATCGAGTTCTGCATCAGGCTCCAGGGAGTCTTCTCTCTCTGTCCCTCCCCACAATAAAAATAAATAAAATCTTTAAAAAGAAAAGAAAATTGTAACACCCATGTTCTTTATTTATCTTTTTTTTAAATAATTTTTTTTAGTATAGTTGAAGTCCTATGGTCTTTAAATCTTTCTTGGCCTGAACATTTGTTTGCTAACAGTTTAATTATGATTTTTGCATCTGTGTTTATAATAAATATGGCTATAATTTTTCTTACTCATGTTCTTACTCAGTTTTTTTTTTAAGTAACCTCTACACCAAACATGGGGCTCAAACCCACAACCCTAAGATCAAGAGTCAAATGCTCCACTGACTGAGCCAGCCAGGTGCCCTCTTCTTATTTAGTTTTAAATCAAGATTATTATACCTGCCCAAAATCAATTGGGGAGTTTAACTTTTTTCCAGTTTCCAAGGAAAGTTCAATTCTGATCCTTACACAGTTGATTGAACTTATCATAAAACCTCTGGAGCTGGTAATTTGATATGGTTGTTTATGTGGTCATTTTAAGTAAAAATTGCATTTCTTTAATGGCTTATGGTTAACCCATGGGTTGTATTTCTTTTGGTATCATTTTTATCATATTTTTTTCTGGAAGGTTGTCCATTCCATCTCATTTTCAAACTGATTGGTGTGTGTTCATAGTATTCTCTTCTGACTTTCTACACTTCTATAAAAGACAACCCCAGGGGCACCTGGCTGACTCAATCGGTGGAGCATGTGACTCTTGATCTTGGGTTCATGAATTTGATCTCCACATTGAGTATAGCGATTACTTCAAAATCTTTAAAAAAAATTTTTTTACTCATAATTTAGTTTATTGTTGCTTTCTCTCTTGTTTTTTTCAAAGTACTAGTTTTTGATTTTAATGTTTTTGTTATCCCTTTTTCATATATATACATATATTTTTCATATATATATATTTCATATATATATTTCACATATATATTTCATATATATATATTTCATATATATATATGTATATATAATCTCCCACATCTTCTTTCTCTACTCATCAGTCAGCTGGGCATGTAAGTTGTTTCCACATCCTGGCTATTGTGAATAATGCTGCAGTGAACATAGAGTTGCAAATATCTCTTCAAAATACTGATTTTGTTTCCTTTGGATTTTGTCACAAGCATGCTAGGCAGGTGCACACATGAGTCGTCTTCCCGCAACGCCAGCTTTGGTCAACTATAAAGCAAGATTAACGTAATTGTAAAGCAAGTTCAGGATTCCAAACTCAATGACATTTCATATGCATTTAACTTGGCTTTATACATGTCACACCAAGCAAAGCACAAGACAGGGTCACACAACAAACAAGATACAAGGGTTAAGAAGTTAATGAACCAAACTCGAAGTCAGTCTGTGGGCGCACAGTTGAGACGAGGCTTCCATCCAGTCAAGGTCAGTTCTTGGCACTTGCTGCTTATTATGGTCAAGCAGGGGAGGATCTGTGTTATGTTCAGAGATCAACTGGGCAGAGCCTTTGGTCATATTTGCCTTTTTGATGCGGCCAGATGTAAAAGGATCAGCATCTGGAGAGATGGACAGTTCGCTACGGTTCCTTTTAAAACTCCTTTGGAGTTTAATCAGCCTTTGCCCTTTGATCTGCTGGTTATCAGTGCTGGGGGTTGTCAGCCTGTGCTGGTTTCGGGGATATTTGGTCTTACCTGCAACACCCTTGGCTGCTTACATCACCACTTGACATGAGTCACTGCTTGACATGAGTGACTCTATCTTGCTCTCTACAGAGCTATCTTGCTTTATATACCCAGAGGTGGGATTGCTGGATCATATGGAACATACAAGGACTTCTTTTTTTTTTTTAAGATTTTATTTATTTATTTGAGAGAGAGAGAGAATGAGAGATAGAGAGCACAAGAGAGAAGAGGGTCAGAGGGAGAAGCAGACTCCCTGCCGAGCAGGGAGCCTGATGCAGCACTGGATCCGGGGACTCCAGGATCATGACCTGAGCCGAAGGCAGTCGCTTAACCAGCTGAGCCACCTAGGCGCCCCACATACGAGGACTTCTTATGGGACTCTGACCTTATGCCATTGTAGGAGCAGGTTAAGCAGTGTCTGTAAGGTGTTGTCTTTATGAAGTCCATGGGACAAGCACTTTGTGATGGGACGGCGGATGTAGGGTGTGGGAGAGCAAGGACAAACTGGAGCCTAAAGGATGAGCTCTAGAGCTTGTGAGGATGGGCAGAAACCCATGTCCTTGTTCTTGCCCCTGACTTTAGTGGTTTAGGTGTCCTGTGGGGTCCTGTTAAAAACAAACCTCAACTGAGTAAATTTGAAGATCTAATTGGCTTCATTAAATGCTTCAAGAATTGGGCAGCATCCCACTTAGCAAGTAGAGATACTCTGAGGCATTGTACCAGTGGAGGTTTTCATAGGTAGAGGGTGGAGCAAGGAAGTTGTTAGCAAAACAAAAGAAAGGGTTGTTTCAGGCCAGGACATCTTCTTTTTGGGCAGAAGGGACCAGTAGGGTTTTTTTATCAAGCAGATGGCCTCACTAGTGCTGATTACAAAATTTCAGATAGACTGTTAAAAGGTCACATTCTTAGGATAGATTGAGCCTGCAATTGAGTCTTGGCTTGATGTCACGGGGAGCAACCGACTCCATTTTGTGTTTGTTTTTTTCTTTCTTAACACTTCCTGTGCCACAGGGTTAGCAAACACACCCCACTCCAGGGTGGGAGAAGCTCAAGGAGGATGTGGGGGAGGTTCTTACAGTTGTGGTTTCACACTAAGGAGGTGAGTCAAATCAGCACCTGAACATGGGCGCCTGTTAGAAAAGGTTGCTTTTTCACAGCGTCCCACTCAATTGGCCAAACTAAACTCTCTTGTGGCCCACCTCTATCTAAGACTACTGTTAAGGGGAATTCAGGCAAATATAGTTCAGCCTGGCCAAGTCCATGCATCAGAGCTGCTGCAAGGGGGCAGAACACTGAGGATGCCTTTGGGATTACATGGAA